TCGCACGCAGCTGAACCGCGGCTTGTGTACTGCGAATACAGACGAGTATCGTTTATTCGGTCACGTTTTTCAGGTGTTCTTCGACAACTGCTTTGATTTATGATATGGGCAGCATACTCTGCTGCGATACGGTGTCCCCCTCTGTCCCACACACGTATGCAAATAACATGCTGTATATAGGTAGTTTACATGATAAAAAGTAATTTTAAAGTTAATAAATGCCTCTAGTTTTAATCATTTAAACAGGCCTTTGAAGTTTGCGCACAAACTTTTTTCATATGGTGATTACAAAACACCTCACTTACATGATTTTATGGTGAAATGTGTTTTATTTTTCATGTTACAGTTTTTTTCAGCTGCTTACACACAGAATCTTTACTTGTCACACAGTTTCTGAAAGCTGACACTCAAACAGCAGAAGCACACACCAAATCTGCAAAACCATACACTAATCTCAGCCTTTGACTCAGTTTTCAATTTCATAAAACACTTTTTGCAAAACACAACACACAATTCTCTATGTAACACACAAATCTAACAGGAATTAATATTATGGCAAAGGTGTTTGCAAATGTTTGCTTTTGAGATGTGTTTGTGATATTTTGAATGCAGTGCTTAATTTTGCATGAGATGTGAGGCATTTTGCATTTTATGTGCAATTCTTGGATTTGTGTGTAAAGTTTTGAACAAAAAAAGAAAAGAGCGAAAATGTTGAAAATGTGTGTAAGCAGCAGTTGAAAAAACCCTGTAATACTCTGATTTATTACTGCCACATTGAATAGGTTCTCTCAAACTATATTTCACCAATGGATGCTCTGCAGTGAATGGGTGCCGTCAGAATGAGAGTCCAAACAGCTGATAAAAACATCACAATAATCCACAAGTAATCCACAGCACTCCAGTCCATCAGTTAACATCTGGAGAAGACAAAAGCTGAAACAAATCCAGCATTAAGACGTTTTTAACTCATTAAATATAAGTCCATAATCCATAATAAGGCTTCCTCCAGTGAAAAAGTGTTCTGGTCTGAATCAGGAGAGAAATCTGCACAGATCAAGCAGCGTTTAAACAGCTCTAAACACATATGTGGCTGGATTACTTTGGATTATTTTGATGTTTTTTTGTCAGCTGTTTGTACTCTTATCGAATGAAAAATGTTCTATCCCTTTAATATACTGTATTTAATTTAATTGAATTATTCTACATTTTCCCAAACACAAATGTATTTATACGAAGTAAAAAGATACATGATATTAATCATAAAGACCATACTTGATAGATTTTCTTTAAACACAAGCAAAAATGTTACTCTGTGCAGGTTAATAAAATAATTTTTTGGCTTTTTACAACTTAATTTTACAATAAACACAAGGTAAATTATATAAAAGTAACTTTCTTCTTTTAAGATAAAACTAAAACATTTTGTTAGTGTTTAATTTAGTTTAATTACTAGAAATAAAATCTAACTTGAAAGGCTTTAATGCACTAAAAAATACTAAATATAGCAACTAAACTACCAACACAACTTAAAATATGTTAATATATGTTAAATCAGGTAGCAACTCTTTAAGGTAACAGTTGCAGGTTAACACGCTGTTTATTGTGATTTGTTTTATAATATGCATCATATTTTCTGTCTTATACTTAAAGAATTCCCACCAAAATAATAAATAATTTCAGCAGTCAGTAACACTAGTCTTCTGCACATCAACACTCTGATGTGAAGACAAAATACAATTTAAACAAAACTGTTTCTTCTGCTTTTTCCTATAAGGAAAGTTATTTGCTTTTATTCAAACTGAACCAGAATCAGGTTTAAAGCAGAATTCATGATTTTCTAAATGTATTATTAAATGTATATTAAAGAGCACTTTACTGAATGAGGCGGTGGTTTCTGGTGTTTCAGTGCAGAGCAGCTGTCTGTCGAGCCCCTCCGTCTCTCAGAGCCAAGACGTGGAGAAGAAACACGATGAGGAGTTCAGCTCTCTGACGCTGGACATCGATAACTCCATCCATCAGCTCAACCAGCTCATCCTGGACCTGGATCCCACCTTCGTGCCGGTTTCCACCAAAGCCAGCTGCTTCAGCGGAGCAAACACACAGACTCGTCAGACGGGTGAGATCACTTCTGCTGTGGAGTAATACACCTAAAGCCTGAGAAAAGTGTTATTTCACCCAATCTTGATCATTCTGTCAACATTTACTCCTCCTCATTTTGTTCAAACCCTTATGACTGTAAAAGGGAGATTTGGTTATTATTTGTTACAGTGTATTTATGGATTAAGTACTGAGTGATAACTGTGTGTATTTGTACATGCATATATGTGACCCTGGACCACAAAACCAGTCATGAGGGTCAATTTATTGAAATTCTGAAACCTTTACCTTTAGATTTAAACCTTTAAAATCTCAAATGTAAAATTTAGATTTATACATCTTACAGGAGTAAATGCAGAAATATTTATTTCAGCCTGAGGATTATTCATTTCACTTTTGGTGTGGAAAGACCCTCACAATTGCCAAAAATATGACTTTTGGATTTTTTGTTATTAAAAAATAAATAAGCAAGCCTAGCCCAGGTGAAAAAAAGTAACGCTAAAGTTAGGTAATGCTTTCAATAAAAAGTAACTAAGTAACGCGTGTGTGTGTGTGTGTGTGTGTGTGTGTGTGTGTGTGTGTGCGTACGTGTGTGTGTGTGTTCATATCTCATCAGAGCACAGATTCATTATGAGCCCAAAGTCGAGTGACATGACGCAGCTCACTGGAGCACGAGGACAGACGGCCTGGACACTGAACCTGAACACAGCAGACACACACACACTGAACGCTGCTGCACCGCACACACAGGTGACACACACACACACACACACACACACACTGACCGCTGCTTTAATAAAATTATTTTATTATAATATTAATTTATTATATTAATTTAAACAATTATTATCAAACAATTATATTAATTTAGTAACATATAAATATATTTTAGTGTAGGCTATATCTTTAGAGTTTTATAATTCATTATCTTCTTGTCGATCCACCGGTTCACATTTACAACTGCATGATGTCTGTGTAAAAATAAGGGTCGTTTTGGTCTAAACAAAGAACAGAAGGGCTTATTGAAAAATGCAAATTCATTCTCTGCCAGCAGGTGGCGCTTTTCGCCAGGAATATAGCCGTTTCCCCGGTAACTGCAGTAAACAAAGCGCGCAGCACCTGACTTTGAAACTTGCAGCGCTCATATTTAATCAATTATACACCCAGTGGGATTTTTTTTATAGAAAGATTGAAAATACGTGAGAAATACGGGAAAATATTTTAACGGGATGATAGCAGGATAGAATGGTAAAATACAGAGGAATCCTGAGAAAAACGGGAGGGTTGACAGGTATGACATACACTCTCACACCGCTGATGATTGCTAGTCTCTAATGTTTTCCTAGTTCCCATGTTTTCTGTGTTTCCTTGCCTTGCTTTGCCCTTGTGTTTTTGATCTTGGACTGTTTATCTGTTTGATGATTGTTTGTTGCCTGCCCTGACCTTCGCCTGTTTTTGGATTACCTTGTTTGCTACTGTTTGCTGGTACTAGACCCTGCCTGTTAAGCTAACTGAATAGCCCTGCACTAGTGGATTGTCAAAGTATGTCACCAAATGCTTCTCATTCACTGCACACACACACTCAGTTTTACATTCATCAAAGAATCCTGAAAAAAATGTATCTCAGTTTCTACAAAAATAATAAGCAGCACAACTGGGGGAAGTTGTGGCCTAATGGTTAGAGAGTCGGACTCGTAACCCAAAGGTTGCGGGTTTGAGTCTCGTACCGGCAGGGATTGTAGGTGGGGGGAGTGAATGTACAGCGCTCTCTCCCACCTTCAATACCACGACTGAGGTGCCCTTGAGCAAGGCACCGAACCCCCAACTGCTCCCCGGGCGCCGCAGCAAAAATGGCTGCCCACTGCTCCGGGTGTGTGTTCACGGTGTGTGTGTGTTCACTGCTGTGTGTGTGCACTTTGGATGGGTTAAATGCAGAGCACTAATTCCAAGTACGGGTCACCATACTTGGCCACATGTCACGTCACTTTCTGTCACTTTCACTGTTTTCAGCATTGATAATAATCAGAAATGTTTCTTGAGCAGCAAATCAGCATATTAGAATGATTTCTGAAGATCATGTGACACTGAAGACTGGAGTAATGATGCTGAAAATACAGCTGCGCATCACAGAAATATATTATATTTTAAAATATATAAAAATAGAAAACAGTTATTTTAAATTGTAATAATATTTCACAATATTACTGTTTTACTGTAGTTTTCTTACATTCTTCTAGTTTAAATATTACATTTTTCATTAGTTTAACATGTTAGTTTAATACAAACATTTATTTGCAAATTATATTATTAGCAAAACAATTTGAGTTAAATTGAAAATTTTGCATGAATTTCGGATTCCCTTAATGTTTTTTTTTTTTTTTTTGCTTTAATGGCAAAAATGGCAAGGGTCTCATACAAAGAGTCACATGATTAGTGTCACAGATTTGCTTATTCAATTTGGAAATAGTGCATGATATTTAATATTTACTTTCCGTTTTATCTCACAGTGTTTATTTGTTGTAAGTGCAGTGCACACAGTCACAATCAATAATAGCGTTGTTATTACTGTATTGGGTGTGTTTCTAGGTTTGTCCAGTGACTGTGTGTGTGTGTGTGTGTGTGTGTGTGTGTGTGTGTGTGTGTGTGTGTGTGTGTGTGTGTGTGTGTGTGTGTGTGTGTGTGTGTGTGTGTGTCACACACACACACACACACACACACACACACACACACACACACACACTCACTCACTAACACACACACACACTCACACTCACTCACTAACACACACACACACACTCACTCACATTCACTAACACTCACTAACACACACTCACTCACTGGTAGTATTTCAGTTCAGTTCAACACTTCAGCCATGAATCAAGAGTATCATCAGTATTCAGGTTTAAATGATGTAAAGATCGTCATGTCTGCACACATCCACGCTTCACCTGCTGTATCTGTCAGAGATTGATCTCTCTCTCTCTCTCTGTGTGTGTGTGTGTGTGAGAGAGTGTGTGTGTGTGTGAGAGAGTGTGTGTGTGTGTGAGAGAGTGTGTGTGTGTGTGAGAGAGTGTGTGTGTGTGTGAGAGAGTGTGTGTGTGTGTGAGAGAGTGTGTGTGTGTGTGAGAGAGTGTGTGTGTGTGTGAGAGAGTGTGTGTGTGTGTGAGAGAGTGTGTGTGTGTGTGAGAGAGTGTGTGTGTGTGTGAGAGAGTGTGTGTGTGTGTGAGAGAGTGTGTGTGTGTGTGAGAGAGTGTGTGTGTGTGTGAGAGAGTGTGTGTGTGTGTGAGAGAGTGTGTGTGTGTGTGAGAGAGTGTGTGTGTGTGTGAGAGAGTGTGTGTGTGTGTGAGAGAGTGTGAGTGTGTGTGCGTATGTGTGTGTGTGTGTGTGTGTGAGTGAGTGTGAGTGTGTGTGCGTATGTGTGTGTGCGTATGTGTGTGTTTGTGTGTGTGTGTGTCTTGATCTCTGTCTCCAGTGAAGAGCATGATGGGCTACTCAGCGTTCAGACAGACGCCGTCTCCTTCATTTGGATCCTGTAGAGCTGAACACGGTAAATCACACAATTCACTAAAATAAGATATTTAAGATATTTATCAAAAGATATTTATAGCTACTTATGATGACTATCTAGTAAGTGAATTTGATCAGTTTGGTTTGTGTTAAATTCTGAATGCTTTATTAGCATGACAGAAATAAATGTGTTAGTTCTTCTTCACTAGTTTGCTGGATTTTCTGGTTTATTTACTCATTTTACTCCAGTAAGTGAAATATAAACTGTGTGTCCACTCATTTGTGTGTGGCATCACCACATGTGTGCTCATGGTCCACGCTTTAGATGAATTAAAGTGTGTGAAGTGTGTCACCGAATGCAACTTCAATGAAGCATCCCAAAACACACCCCGTCTGTCCCATTAGCTCCACCCCCAAACTCACCTGATTGGCTGAGCTGATCGTGATGGAGTGACAGACACAGCGTCTCACTGCATGTTTAGCTGTGATTTCAGTGACACGCCTCACATTCAGTGTTGTCCTGTGAATGTGAGCAGATGTGAGTGCATCGTGTTCATGTTGTTCTTTCAGATATGAGAGAGAATGCAGGATTCATGGGAGCTTCAAATGAAGGTTTCCAGCATCACAGACCGTACATCACTGGAGTCACGGCCTTCTCTGATCAGTACAGCTGCACTCATTCATTCATTAATTAATTCATGCATTCATGACACAGTGCCAGGTTTAACAGAAAGAAAGAACTGCGGAAGACAGATTTCCATAGCTGAAATCTTGACCTGTCTTCTCTGGTCCAGACTGGTTTTACTCGGGGTCACTGGATGTTCTGGTCTCAGTCCAGACTGGGTGTATTTGATGCCATGCTTTGATTAATACATTGGAATATTACATACCTTTAAAATTAAATGTTAACATGTTGCATCTGCAAGATATAATTTTAGTGAAATAAACCTTTTATCACTAGAGATAAAACTAAAATGGTTCTACTAGCCTCCTTCAAATCAAGGTAGGTAAATAAGACCAAACATTGTGTCCCTTTAGACTTTCTGTAGTCCAGTGACAATAGTCAAGTCACATTTATTTCTACAGCACTTTATACAATACAGATGGTTTCAAAGCAGCTTCACATTCATAAGCAGGGAAATGACAGTGTTCATGATGTAAAATTCATCAGTTATGAAACAAATTCACTTTTTTTGCTGTAAAGCAGAAATTATGATTTTACGTCATTAAGTATTTCGTTTGTGTTTTTGATAAGGTTCCCAGTTCACATGGATCCACAAAAATATATCGTTTTCAAAAACTTGCACTTTGAAACCGGTTTTCAAAAGTGTGTGTTGTCAGGCCCCTAATTCACCATTGTCGTGTAAATGAACGGCCAAAATGCATGAAATGCTTTCTGTTTTTAGGTGAAAATGATGTGTAAACGGCCCTGAAGATTATGAGTGCACCTCAGGAAACATATTAAAATAATTTAAAAATGCATTTCATGAACCCTGTAAGATCAGATTGTAGCTCTGAATGATTTTAATCCTGTCAAAATCTGATGTGAAAACTAATGTGAGATTTGTTGAGTTGTTGATGATGACAGTAGAGTGTTGTTTGTTGTTGCTGCAGGTCTGCAGACTGCGTGAGCTTCGCCCCGTCCTCCTCCGGCCCGTCTCTGCCCGCTCCGAACGCCCACAGCTCTCCTCTCAGCGGCCCGAGAGCCCGAGTCCTGCAGCAGCCTTTTGAGGAGAAGCTGGAGGCACTGGAGTCTGACGGCGAGCTGTCGCAGGGTTCGGCGTCTCCCAGCGGTTTCTCCAGTCCTCACAGCGTCTCTTTGCTCAGCATCCCCTTCCCCAGCGTCCTGCCCTCAGACCGGCTGACCGTCAGCTTCGTCCAGGACACCTCCAAATACTGGTACAAGCCCGACATCGCTCGGGAACAAGGTACGGATCCCATCGTGATGGCTGATGGATGGCTGCTGTGTTTGACGCTCATCTGACCTCTCTCTGTTCTCACGCAGCTATCACGGTCCTGAAGGACAGAGAGCCCGGCTCCTTCATCGTGAGGGACAGTCACTCGTTCAGAGGAGCGTATGGACTGGCCATGAAGGTGTCCACACTGCCGCTGTCAGCTCTGCAGAGCCGGAGAGGTGAGAGACCATCAGCAGACCAGTGGTTCCTTCACATCTGTGTTCACATGATTAGCGCTGACACAGACAACATATCAAACCATCGTCATGTGTGATACTTTCAGAAGACACTACAGTTACTGCATGAAGAGACATAAATGTGACACTGGAGCACAAAACCAGTCATAAGGGTCAATTTTGGGAAATTGAGATGTATACAACATCTGAAAGCTGAATAGATATGCTTTCCATTGATGTATGGTTTGTTAGGATAGGACAATATTTGGCTGAGATACAACTATTTGAAAATCTGGAATCTGAGGGTGCAAAAAAATCTAAATATTGAGAAAATCATCTTTAAAGTTGTCCAAATGAAGTTCTTAGCAATGCATATTACTAATCAAAAATTAAGTTTTGATATATTTACGGTAGGAAATTTACTAAATATCTTCATGAAACATGATCTTTACTTAATATCCTAATGATTTTTGGCATAAAAGAAAAATGTATAATTTTGACCCATACAATGTATTGTTGGCTATTGCTACAAATATACCCCAGCGACTTAAGACTGCTTTTGTGCTGCAGGGTCACATATAATAGATAAACACTTCATACACTCACACACACACACATACACACACACAAACCAGCCTTCCATTGTGAAAAAGAAATACACTTTAGCATACTTTAAAAAAAAAGAGTACTTATTAGGGAAACAATACACTTTTAGACATACAGTCAAACCAACATTTATTCAGACACCTTCAGCGTTTCTCACATTATCACAGTTTATTCGCTATAGTTTAGAAAATTGTAATAAAATATGAGAAGAACTCAGAGTTAAACTGTGTTAGAGAACAAATTAATCTTGATAATGTCAGATAACTTTCATAGAAAGGTATGTAATGAATTACAATCAACAAAAAATTATTCAGCTGTTAAATTTAAGTACACAATTAGATAATAGCAATTTAGCTCAACCAATTACCAAGCAATGCTTAATTTGTTCAGTCTGTGGAGTAAATAGGTCGCATTAGCAATTAAAGAAAAAACACTTCAGCAAAACATGGTCAGGTCAAAGTAATTTTTGGTCCCAAATTTTTAATGAATTTGTGGGTATAACATGCCACAGTTTATCAATTTATCTCTCTCTCTCTCTCTCTCTCTCTCTCTATATATATATATATATATATATATATCAAATTACATTTACATATTACAGTTACTTGAACTTTGTTGACCCACTTAAGCTGGACTTCTGTACATCTTTATATGTATTTTCAGAATTACGTTTATTGTCTATGAAATATGGCTAAAGTACTGCTGAATGTACTGACAAGCATTTATTGTAAACTAAAATATACTTTAATGACATTTCTATTCAAACTTGTCATTTTTTAAAAAAATTAATAATAATGAATTTGCAGTTTAGTTCATCTAAAATGTATTAACTTTAAATGTAATATCAAGTCAAGTCACCTTTATTGGTATAGCGCTTTTAACAATACAGATTGTGTCAAAGCAACTTTACAGCATTAATTAGGAAAATAGTGTGTCAATAATGCAAAGTGACAATAGTAAACACTCATTTTTCAGTTAAAGGCAGTCCATCATTGAATTCAGTGATGTCATCGTCCAG